ACGGAGGCTGAAAGCCCCGGCTACGGCCGCGGATGGCTCTTACAATACCATCCACCTAGCCTTCACCGTGACCAGCAGAATCTCCGAAACAGCAGACGGGAGGACCCAACCAACACAATAACAGCCCTATGAACGGCTAACGGTTTTCAGAAAAACCGTTACGTCGAAGAATGGGGGTAGAACAATGAACAATGGTTCTATTGTTCTATTGTTGTCGCTTCTTATCGCCTGTCTATTGTCTTCTTATCTCTCGGCGTAACGTTCGTCCAAGCGATCAGCTTACCGACGATGCCTATGGCTGTCAACTGATCCTGTGCTATAGAACGAACGGGTACCTAAAAACGAGAAAACAACCGTTCACTATGAATTCACGATGCAAACTGTTGCTTGACTCCTTCCTTGACTGCCGATGATTACTCCGCTACCGCTCTATTTATAGTCGCGGTGACCTGTCGTGTCGGGACGTATCGGCACACTCCGTGGCGCGAACGTCAAGAAGCGCGCGCTGGCCAATCATGTGGCTGCATCGTGGTAGTGGGACCGGACGGCGGCTCTAGACTGAGATTCCAGATGGGAGACAAGTAGTATCCTTCCTCTCGAATGATATTATGTGGATTTTTTCGGATCTCTAGAGATTCGCGGATTTTTCTGGAATAAAAGAAGGGGCTCTTAGAAATAATATGGGTTTTTTGAACAATATGGAATGACCGGTTTTTTGGCAGTGTTCTGCAACTGCAGAATGGGAGAAAAGACCTGATCGAACGTATCTTTGATGCTCTTGAATCCGAGTTTTGAGGGAACGACCAGTTTCGCCAATATACACATGTCCACATGAACAAGGAATAGAATAGACACCACAGGAAGATAGGGGCGGTAATGGGTCCTTAGGAGAGGGTAGATATTGTGAGATTTTCTTGGGTGGTCGAAAAGTAGTCCGGATACCTTCTTTGAGAAGAATTTTGTCAATCCTATCAGTGACACTTCGAATATACGGAAGAAAAGCCACAGGAGTATTACCCGAAGATTCTGAATTTGTCGTCCTAGGGTGTAAAGAAGGATGTAGATGTCGGTGTGTAATATTTTGAATTGTGGACTTGGAGTAACCGTTAGCGTTCCGTTCTTGACGTTCGCGCCACGGAGTGTGCCGATACGTCCCGACACGACAGGTCACCGCGACTATAAATAGAGCGGTAGCGGAGTAATCGTCGGATTCACTCCCCGCCTCTCGACGCGTTAGTGTTCTGAGCTGTTGGACGTGAATCCCTGTCCTGGCATTTGGTTTTCACCTCTGGCTGCGTTAAGTAGTTGAGTTACTGTGACCAAATGCCCATCTTGGTAGTTAGTATTCGCCTCTGGTTGCGTTGAGTAACTGAGTTACCGTTGCTAACTACCCATCTTCCTGTCTTTTGATTTCTTTTTCTTTGTTCTCCTGAAGAAGCTACATACAATTGTAGCGAAACGTCGAGATAAACCCACTTTTGGGTCACTCACAAATGACACGGTCCAAACCAGGAAGACGAATATACTATTGTATATTTATATGTATATACTATTTTCTAATCACTTTACTAATACCTTTACTGAATATATTTAGTGCCGTTTTATTTATTGACATTCTATTTTCTTGCCATTGTTTAGATACATATTTTTCCGTAGTTTTACCTTCCAGTGGACTTGTGTAATGTCGTTTTTATTGCTTTACGATTTCATCTATTTTTTTTATTAACTACAAAAACCATATTAACTGCATAGAGTGATTAGTGGATATAACAAACATAAGAAATATTACAATATATAGAATCTTGTATATTGATGTCTTTTAAATATGTTAACGCTGAGATTTTTTTTTTTTGAGAATTGTTATGAGACACCGCCTGTAGTTCTGTGAGATCTTCTTCTTCCATGAATTGCGAACAATTAAGCAGGATATGTTTAACGGTCAGTGGATCAGAGCAGCTGGCCCAGATCGCAAGTGGTTTTTTTGTTATTAAGTATTTGTATTTTTGTGTTTTTGTAATATCAACATGAGACAGATGAATTCCCTTGTATTCTCAATATTTCTATACGGCGCCGAGGCTTGGACTCTTCCGTTTTTTCGTTGAAGATGAAAAGGACGATCACCAACTAGATGGTCTGACCAAATTAAGATATACCAGCTGAATATAGAGACTAATGGAGAAAAATTGTCAGAAAGATTGGAAGAAATCACGATCATCAGTATTGGGGAAATGACAAGAGAGAAATATTTGTGTTTTAAAGCAGCAAGGATAATTCTTAGACGATTTTTCTTAAATTGGTTTCTTCTGTGTGAAGGATTATCCAGGACCGAATTTATTTTTGGGTAGATAACATTTGTATCTGAATGTACCTCAATGCACTTGTTAATGTACTTTACTTTTTCCCAATGATTTAACCATGTACTAAGAGGATTTTAATTAGGTTGTTCAGGTCGGTGTAAGGATATGTTTTTAACTTGATATTATGATTTGAGCTAATTTGATTTTTTTGCTAGTTGATCTGATTTTCTGTTTCCGTAGATACCTTTATGTAAAGTGTTAGTTCATATGTCCCTTCTGTGAAAGAACGAATATTGAGATTAAGTTTCTTTATTAACCTAATGATGTTATTTTTTAATTTTAAATTGTGGCTAAAATTATTTCAGCATGATTGGCATATAGTGTGTTTTCCAAAAAACACATAATGTCGGTATAGTATAACATAAATAGTGGTTCGCTATTATGTCTTTAACTGTCCTTGGACAAAGCAAAAGTTCGCAGGAATTTCTGGTTGACATTTCTGACTTTTCCTTTGGTTTGCTTACTATTCTTCAAGTTCCACTCCTATCGGAGATTGCAAATCATTCTGGCAATTATAATTTTATTGGTTACTCGCCTGAATAGTTCAATTGAACTGCATCCAAACCATTCACGGAGATTGCGTAGCCACGAGATTTTACGTCTTCCTGCGCTTTTTCTACCTTTGATTTTACCCTGCATTATATTCCTTAGTAGTTCGTACTTCTCACCTTTCATGATTTGCTCCAAGTATTCCAATTTCCTGATTTTAATGGAATTTAAAACTTCGCATTGTTTTCCTAGTTGTTCGAGAACTTGTTTGTTTGTTTTGCGATCCATCCATGATATTTTCAAAATACGTCGGTAACACCACATTTCGAATGCTTCTAGGTTTTTAATGTTGGGAAGCATTCTTATCCGGAGCGATATATTGATATCGCGATTACAAAAAAGTTTTCTCATTCTATTAAAAGTTGACCGCGCAATTTCAATGCGGCATCTTATTTCTTTTGTCTGATCAGTATCTTCTGTGATCCATGCTCCAAGGTATTTGTACGAAGATATTTGTTCAATTTCTGTATTATCTAGTACTAGCCTAACTTTGATGTTTTGTGCTTTTGTAAATACCATGAACTTGGTTTTCTTCAAATTGATTTTTAGTCCATAATCGTTGCAATATATATTTACTTGTTCAGCAAGGTGTTGTAGTTCTTCTAATGTTCCTGCCAGAAGGACGGTGTCGTCAGCATATCTTATGTTATTAAGTGGCTCACCGTTTATTATAAGGCCCTCACTGATCTCGGCAAGCGCTAATTCTGAGATGGCTTCACTGTATAAATTGAATAACAAGGGTGATAAAATACACCCTTGGCGGATCCCACGGCGAATCTGGATATCCTTGGTCAGTTCGTTTTCAACCTTCACTTTTGCTGTTTGATTCCAATAGAGGTTACAGATGATTCTAATGTCTCTACTGTCTATGTTTTTATTTAATAAAATTTCTTTAAGTCGATTATGCTGCACTCTGTCAAATGCCTTCTCAAAATCAATGAAATAGGCATATACTTCCTGATTAATATCTAAGCATCTCTGCGAAAAAACACTTACTGCAAACAGTGCATCTCGTGTTCCCAGTCCTTTCCTAAATCTCATTTGTGTATTATTTATGCCTTCATCTAATTTCTTATGTATTCTATTGTGAATTACTTTTAAAAACAATTTTAAGACATAACTCATTAAGGCTATGGTGCGATGTTCATTGCACTCCTTTGCATTGTCTTTTTTGGGAAGCAGTATGAATGTTGATTGGAGCCATTCTTTAGGTATTATACCTGTTCTATATATGGTATTGAATAGATCCAAAAGAAGATCAATAGATTCAGTATTCACAATTTTAAGTAATTCGATAGGAACTTCATCAGGCCCGGGAGATTTACCATCTTTAGCTTGTTTCATTGCATATTCAATTTTTACTCGTATAATGTCAGGCCCAGTATCATCCTTAAATTCTTTTGGTGCTTCTGTTCTCTCTTTGTCTTCAAAAAGTTGTGCTATATATTGTGTCCATCTCTGCATTTTTTGGTTTATATCTGTTATAAGTGCACCCCTTCCATCTCTTAGTTGCCTAGTTTGAAGTGTTTTTCTCATTCCTGTTAATTCTCTAATTCTTTTATGCATGTTAAAAAAGTCATATTTTTTCTCAATTTCTTCTAGTTCTTGGCACTGCTCATGTAACATTCTCTCCTTAGCTTCTTTTATTTTTTTTTATTAATCTATCAGTTTCATTATATTTAATTGGATTTTTTGTTTTAAATGATTTTCTTTCTATAGGAGTAGTACATATCTATATTTCGTTTATATATTTATGAAGAATATGGGATGAGCCTTTTTAGTAGATTGAAGACGTTTGTAATGACTAGAGCTGCTGATGTTGTTAGAAGATCATGATAATATCAGAGATCTTAAAAATATATTTTAAAAAATAACATAATGAAAGGATTAATACCAAATCTTTGTAACTATTTTTAAATTGCTTATGGACTTTTATTTTAAACTTACTTGTAAAACAGTATTTGTGTTTTAACTACCACTTTATTGCAACTTTTATGTGTTTTAGATATCATCCATTACGATTCAGATGGCATGAAAATGGATTGGAAGAATAAGTATGCCACAGTTATATAAAAATGATGGGATTATTTAAGGATGAATTCCTTTCCACCAATAATTCAACCAATTTTGCCTTTGGAAGATAAAGAAATTAACAATAACGATAACGGAACCAATAAATATAAGTCTAAAGGTAATAAGTAAACTTAGGCAAATATGCAAATTGCTTATAATATTAACTTTATTATACATCTCAAATCCAATGAAAATATTTATTCTATTAAATTTATTCTATTCTGTGCACGAATTTTGTCCATTCTTTCTTGTTTTTTGCCTTATTTTGAGCTTTTGACCATTCCAATCCCCTACTTTTCAAAATCTGCCCTACTTCGTCATCCCAGGTTTTCCGTGGTCTGCCTCTAATTTTAAACCTTTTCACTTTAGCCTTTCAGACTTGCTAACGGGTCGGTTGTCGCTCATTCTGCACAAATGACCAAACCATTTTATATTTGTTGTGTTTCAATAGCATGTAGTACTGATTCTGTACCCAGTTCTTCTCTAACATCTTCATTTCTTATTTTGTCTCGTCGTGTTATTCCTTTGACTCGTCTTAGATATTTCATATCAATGGCTTGTATCTTGCTTTTTAATTGCTTTGTTAAAACCCAGCTCTCGCTTCCATATATCAAGATTGGTCGGAATACTGTCTTATAAACTGTCATTTTGGTTCTTCTGCTGATTTCCGGTTTACCTATGAATGCTCTACTAAGATTATGGTACACTTTTGAAGCACTACTGATTCTTTCTGTTATTTCATTCTGCATGGTACCTTCTCTGTCTATTGTAACCCCTAGGTATTAGAATGCATTTACTTGTTCTATGAGTTGTTGGTTAATTTCTATGTTAACATTTCGGTTAGTTTTCGCTATTAGCATCACCTTGGTTTTCTTAACATTAATCTTCATGTTTCTGATTGCCAGCTCATTATTCCAGGTATCTATATTTTTCTGGAGGTCCCTTTCGTTGGAAGCGCATAACATGAGATCATCTGCGAATGCACACTCAGCTATACCAACCGGTCGTAGTTTACTATATCCGATATGTACTCTGTGTATACTTGCTTTTGTTTCCTTAATTATGTCGTTAATAATCAATATGAATAGTGTGGGGCTCATAACACCTCCTTGTCTTAGACCCTCGTTTATTGCAAACATCTCTGATTTCAAGTTATCCTTACGTACATAACTCTTGTTATTTTGATACAGACTTTTGATAGCACCTGTTAGTTGATGGTCAATATTTCTATTTTGCAGACTTTTCCAGACTGCTTCCTGGGACACTCTGTCAAATGCTTTCTCAATATCTAGAAAAGCCATATATATTTCTGTGTTCTTTATTCTCGCTTTCTTAATTATTTGTTTTAACGTAAATATATGGTCTTGCGTACTGTGTCCCTTCCTAAACCCACTTTGTACTTCATCCAGATGTGGTTCAACGATGTGTCTTAATTTCTTTTCTAGGATACTTTCATATATTTTGGAGACGATACTAAGTAGATTAATTACTCTATAATTTTCACAAGAACTTGGGTCTCCTTTCTTAAAGATTGGTAGTATTATGCCAATTCTCCAATCTTCGGGGACTGTACATCGGTTCCAAGCCATGTTCATAATTTTGGTTAAAAATTCAACTCCTTTCGGTCCCATTGTCTTTAACATTTCTGCAGTGATTTTGTCATGACCAGCCGATTTACCTCTCTTTGTGTTGTTAATTGCTTCTTTAACTTCTTCTATTTGAATATAATTTTCTTGCCCATGTTCTTCTTCTACTTCTATCATTACAGTTTCCTCTTTCGGCTGTCTTGGTGTTAGGAGTTCGCTGAAGTATTGTCTCCATCTTTCCATAATCTCATTTGGTCTGGTAATCAGTGTGCCGTCTTTACGTTTCACCTGTTTCATCGTTGTTTTGCCTTTTCTTAGCGTCTTTAGTGCCTTGTAAAACAATTTTTGGTTACCCCGGCTATCTGCCTTCATCCTCATTCCAAAGTCATCCCAGACTTCCTTCTTCTTCTTCAACACCATTTCTTTCACCACCTTTCTTTGTCGTTTATATTCTTCGTAACTACTTTCTGTTCTCTTGTTTAAATATATTTTCCATTTCTGTTTTTGATATTTTATTTGGGCTTTTAATTCATCGTCCCACCATCGTGTTTGCTTCTTATTTCTGTTTACATGGTTTATTCCACACGTTTCTTTTGCTGTCGTCACGATGGTTTCTTTAAATTGTTTCCAAATTTCCTGTAAGTTGTCAGTACTATGTGCATTAGTTAATTTGGCTAGTTTTTCTTCTATTTTACTTTTAAACATGGCCGCGACTTTTTGATCATTTAGTTTATAGTTTTGGATATTCTCGTTCACTTTATTATTTTTTGTTCTTTGTTGAGTGGTTTTAGAGGTTTTTTGGGGTAATCTTATCTTTGCCATTACCAGATAGTGGTCACTATAGATTTCCGGGCCTCTTTTAACTCTGACATCAGTGACCTCTTTCCTAAATTCTCTATTAATGAGAACATAATCTAGAATTGATTTTTCATTTCTGCTCCTGACTTCTCTCGTAAACTTGTGTATATCTTTGTGTTCAAAAAATGTGTTGGTGATAATCAAATTATTCTCCATGCAAAAGTCTATCATCCTTCTTCCATTATCGTTTCTTGTATCTTATCCCTGCATACCCATAATATCTATGTTATCATCGTCTCTTTTACCAACTCTGCTATTCATATCGCCTAGAATGACTATTCTACCTTTCACATTTTCTATGGCATCATTGAGCTCTTCCCAATATTCTTCTTTAACTTTCAATGGTTCGTCATCATTCGGGCCATATGTGACTAATATAGTTGTTATTTCTGATTTATCTAGTGTCATCTCTATCTTTAAATTTCTTTGTGATATACATTTCCAATTTTTAACATATGACATATAGCTTGCTCTCATTAGGCATCCTACACCTTCTGCCGCTCTACTATTGATACTGACTCCGCTGTACAAAAATACATGTTCTTTATCCAATTCATCCATTCCTTGACCTTTCTTTTTAGCTTCTGTGATCGCCAAAAAATCTAATTGTGCTTTGTCAAATTCATCTATTAATTCTCTCTCTTTTCCATTAAGGCTTCTGACGTTCCACGTAGCCATTTTTATGTACTTTTGTAGTCTGTTTGTCCCTTGATCTTGTATTTCTTTTTTGTCCAATTCAATTATATCGTTAGTCCTTATTCTCGCCTTGTTTGGTATTCCATGTTGATCAGTTCTATTTGGCCGATGGTCTGCTATTTCTTCCTGGCTTTGTTGAGAGCCTTTATCTCCCTGTTCCACGTCCATACTTCTCCATTTATTATAAGTTTTTGAAACCCCATTTGGACTGTATTCCCTTTACTCTTTTCTTCCTTAGCTTTAGCTCTAATTTCTTTTTGAATAATTCTCTGCTGTTCGCTCATATCATCATTTATATATACTTTGTGTTCGTGTTGTAAAAGAGTAATTAATATAATAAATTAGCTTTAAGAAAAAGGTAACGTAAAGAGAATTATTTACTTATCAGCAATTAGGTCTAAACTTTAAAGACCATAGTAAGAAATAAAACATATTAAAACAAAGCTGTAAAATGCGTAAAAATATTATGTTTGCTATTGTGATTAATCAATAATAAGTGGGTTAAAAGTCTTTGTTTTAATTTTATTTTACGATTAATGTTTTGTTAATATTATGTGAAGGACTTTTGGTGTATTGTTTTGTAAGCTCGCGGTATATGTTATGGCTGCTTGGCACACTATACCAATTCTGCTATGTCTGATTATGTATCCTAGTCATAGCGACACCTTAAGTAATTCCAATAAAAAATCGTTAGAAAAACCAAGTTAAGTTAAGTTAATAGTAAAATATTCTTTAATCTAATAATTGTTAAGTTTGGTATTAGTATCGATATCCTATTGTATTTCAATTATTATAATCTTTATAGTGTATAAATAATTACGTAAGTTACTTAGCGAAAAGTCTGTAAAATTTTATTCTCAGATAATTTCATAGTTTGTCAATATAGTGAAATAGTAGGGGAAATTTATATTTGAATATGTTACCGGGGGAAAATCAATACACTTCGTGTAAAAATGTAATAACTACGTGTTAAAACTTTGATCTATGAGTCAATCATAAGATCAAAATAGTGTTAGGTTATAGAGACTTTAATATCTCATTATAGTTTGTGACGCTGTTCCGGAATCCAATTGTTTTCAGAGTTTTCTGTATAACGTATTTAGCGTGTTTCTTACTATTGTTCTAAAGTTATTTTCTTGTGTCATTTTAAAGTAATTACTATTTTATTGGGAATAAGCCACAATTAAAGGTTAAAGTATGTTTATTGACGTTTCAATTTCCACTTCGGAAATCATTCTCAAAATAAAAACATTAAGAAATTAAACAAATTTTGTTTTTTTATTACTTGGTGAAGAATTCTTCTAAAGATAAAATTAAATAATTAGAAGAATTTTTCACCAAGCAACAAAAAACAAAATTTGTTTAATTTCTTAATGTTTGTATTTTAAGAACGATTTCCGAAGTGGAAATTGAAACGTCAATAAATCTATTTTAACCTTCAATTTTGGCTTATTCCCAATAAAATAGTTAGTATCTAGCATAGTTATAAAGAGATCAAATATTTTGTTTCTCCTTTCTAAAAGTTCGTTAGTCAATGGCCATAAAATATTAGTTATTTGGATATTATTTAAGTCAAGCTTTCAGTGAGTATTATGCATAAGTAAGTTGCAAGTCTTTGTGAAAATATTAACAGGTTGATAGCCAGCCTGTTTTTCCTGCATTGCCAAAGTGTCATTTGAGTACCACATATGGCACTCAGTTCAGAAGATAAGTTTAAATATTAAGCGCCATTATATAGTACTCAGTATAACTTAAAAAATGCACGCTGTGTACCTAAGCAGTTACTCGGCTTGTACATTTTATATGGAGAAATTAAAGTTTTGTCCTCAGAAAACCATTCAATGATTTTAGCCCGTAGCTGGACGATATTGTACTTTTTTACACAAGTCGTGTATCAAAGTGTAATAAAAACGTTTTTTAGCGTAAATATGTTTTTAACAAGTAGCATAGCTCTAAAAAACGGTACAAATAAATAGTT